AGACACCCTCAGGGACTTGCTGTTGGTGTGTGCGGATGGGACCTGTGGACCCAGATGACTCTAATGGACCTCTCACTGGAGATCACCGGATGGGGAAAACCATGAACCTGAGGCTAGGAAGTGCCAGTCACCCCACCCTGTAGCACAACCCAGAAGTCCTCACCCACATAGCCAATAACCTCAGTGTATTTGTCTGGATGGTCTGAGGGCAGTTCTTCCCTGGCCAGGCGACCAATGAAAGGCCTTCCTGGAAAAGCACTATACCTGGACAGGTACGCCTTCCCTTCTGTGCCTATTCCAGGAAGCAGGGACAGACAGAGCCTCGTCCTGACGGTACAAAATTTCTTTAGCTACCAGCCCGGCGGGCTGGAGAGGGCTTCCAGATGAGCTGTTGATATTTGGAGCCCCGAGGGCTCTCTGGTATCAGCTTCCTCTCCTGTGCCTGTTTACTTTATTTGGCTGGCCTTCCTCATCCTTAGCAGACCGCGAACCCTTCCCTTTGAGGGGCACCTGTGGCCCTTCAGGAAGCACCGGCTGAGGAAGGCTGGTGCAGACCCAGTGTCATAAGCTTCCCCCAGAAGTTATCTCTTTCAAAAGAGCCAATACGCCGAGCTTGGCAGCTTATCGGGTGTCTGCCACAGCTATTCAACTCTGTAATTGGGGCTCAAGAGCTGCTGTAGACCACGGGTCAGATGGGCATGACTGTGTGTCACCAGACACGTCTGTGGACGATGAAGAGAATATCACTTCTCGTGCCTAGCAGAGTTTTCTTCTGGTTTGATGGAAATCATTTTAAAATATGAAGACTCTGGCTGGGGAGATGACACGTGATCAAACGCTCACTGGCCAAGTGCAAGGATGTGACTGGATTCCCAGCAACCCCATGAGAAGCCAAGCAGGGAATGCCTGGGTAACCTCAGCACCAGGGGCGGGGCAGTAGAGACAGGTAGATCCCTAAAGTTCACTGGGAAGCCTGCCTAGCCAATCAGTGAGCTCTGTTGAGGGAGGAAGGAAGGAACTCTGTCCAAAAGAAAAAAAAATTAGGCAGAGAGAGAGAGAAAGAGAGAGAGGGGGGAGGGGCCAGCAGCTGATCTTGACCTCTGACCCCCACATGCCCATGTGAACATGTATCTGTGTGCACTCACCCAGGTATACCCACACCTACACACCTATACACATTCACTCACACAGGAAAAAAAAACCAGGAAGACTAAAAAGTGACAAGAGCAACCTTCAAGCAGAGAGTAGTCACTAGGGTGACATTCATGTGACATACATTTACTAACTCCTGATGCAGAAGATGGAACTCCGGAATTCTGGAACTTTCTAGGGACCTAGCTAAGTCTCAGGGGCAGGGAAAGGGTAAAGACTGGGAGAGAGGGAGACAGGGAAGAGTCCAGAAAGCACAGAGTGATCCTAAACACTGCGGTCTACACTCAGCCTTGAACTTAAGTGAGCTTTCACAAAAGGAATGTTCTAGAAGGTGAGGGGTGGGGTGGGGGCAAGATCAGGATTGTTCCAGTTCTCCACATCTTGCTCCCACAGCCCTGGGCTGTAGAAGAAAGGAAAGAGGGGATGCCTAAGCCAGACTGTCCTTTGTCACCCTCAAGATTCTAGCTAGGGTCCAGACTGAAGCCATGGCCTCTGACAAGAGGGAAAAGAGGCAAAGGCCAGAAACCACAGAGGAGAAAGTGATCATGTCTGCTTCTGTCAGGGGCCACAAGTACGAAGAAACCAAACTAAGCTGCAGAGATCTGGAACAGAACAGAAGATGACCACCAGAGTCCCAGGCAGACAGGAGAATAGGGCAAGGTGGCTCAGTCCGTGAAGGGCTTGCCTCCAAAGCACGAGGACCTGACTTTGATCTTCCAGAATCATGCAGAGGAAAAGCCGGGGGTGGGAAGGCAATGTGGCTCAGAGGGTAAAGGTGCAAGCCACCAAGCCTGATCGAGTTTAGAGTCCACACGGTAAGAGAGTAGACTTCTTAAAGTTGTTCTCTGACCTCCACATTTGTGGCACACACACACACACACAAACGCACAAATGTGAATTTTCTTTTAAAAGTTGTGGTATTCCAACACCAGAAAAATGCAGATCCCTGGGCTTCATTGGCCAGACAACCCGACTTACTTGGTGAATTCAGCCCAGTAAAAGGCCTTGTCTCAAAAACCAAGATGGAAGACAACCGCAACTGAGGGATGATACTCCAGGCTGACCGCTGGTCGCCACACGCACACACACATACACTCGTGAGTACACGGATATACATACAACATGACCAATGGTCACCACACGCACACACACATACACTCGTGAGTACACGGATACACACACAACATGACCGCTGGTCGCCACACGCACACACACTCGTGAGTACACGGATACACACACAACACGAAGGGGAAAAAAATTAAAGATCCTCAATTTTTGCAATGGGAAAGGCCACGCCTCTCTCAGGAGGAGAGAGATGCTACCAGACGCGAGGTGCCTCTGTCCTGTTGGGTCTTGAGTCAGGAAGGGCAGGTGTGGGAGCTCAAACCCACTACGCCCCTGGAGGCGTCTGGAAGGCATCAAAACTGGGCAGGCTGAAGATGTGACTGCAAGCAGCACAGCCAGGGTCAAGTTTAGACGTGAGCTTTACTCGCTCAGCAAAAAAGGACCAGAGCTTTGCTCCTCACGCCAGTCCCCTTTGCAAGAGCCTCAGAGGAGGAATCATCAGGTCTCCAACGCTCACAGTGGTAGTGACAGTTATAGTTTATTCAGATCACTCACAGTGAGTGTCACCCTGGAACCAGCATCCAGCATCCTGAGGAGCAGAAGAGGCTGTCTTGGAAGACAAGCTTTCCCGTACTCCAAACCTATTCAACTTGAATCTTCAGTTTGAAAGGTGCCCAGGGAAATCCTCAGGGAGGCACGCATATGCCAGGGTACATGTGTGGAAGACACCTTGCATGAATTTCTCTCCTACCTTACGGGGCTCACGGATTAAATTCAGACAGCTTAGTGGTAAGTGTCCCCACCCCTCTCGATGTCCCCACTGAGACACTATTTTAAATCTCTCCCCATACCAACTCATGAAACCCTCTGGCAACACCATGGCCACACCCCCTTACCACCTGCATGTTGCAGACAATCGTGCCAAGATCCCGACAGGTCCAAAGTCGCAGACTGAGAGGAGGCAGGGCTCTAGACACTAACAATGTGTGGTCATAAAACACACCTTAAAATGAATTAGTTAGCTCTTTAATAGCTGATAGGACCAGATATGTTGCCACCTGAACACTGTGGTAGTTTGAATGAGAAATGTCCTCCATAGTCTTTGGCGTTTAAACACTTGGTCCCCTGTTGGTGGCACTGTTTGGAGGCAGGTGAGTTGGTGCAGCCTTGCTGGAGGAAGTAAGCCACCGGGGATGGGCTATGAGAGTAAAAAGCCTCTTCTACGTCTACCTTGCTGTTCCATGGTTTCGGTTTGAAGATGTGAACTCTCTCTGTCGCTGTCGCTATGCCTGCTGCCTGCTGTCCTCACCATTGAGGACGCTGAGCCTCAGGGACTCAAAGCCAAAATAAGCCAAAATAAACAACCTTTTCTGTAAGTCACCTTGGTCATGGTGTTTTATCACATCGGCAGGAAAATAAGACCCACACCATCCTTTGTGTGAGAAGCAAAGCAGATGGTCAGAATCTATAGTAAGTTCTTAAGCATCCAGAGAGCATCCCTGTAAAGGTACCCAGGAGTGCTGAGCGGGAGTCGCCTCTGGGAACTGGAATTCAGAACCTGGGGAAAAGGACACTAGGGGAAACTCTTTACTGTGACACACTTCCATCCTGTTGACTATGGGGGAACGAGTAGTTCCTGTTCCCAAACAAATAAAAACAAGGTGCTTTCCTTCTCCGTGCCCCCCCTCCCCCACACCGCCTCCAAAACTGGTGGAAAGGGAACTGGAAAGAGGCTCAAGACTGAGAGCACTTCCTGCTTGTAATGCTTTGTATTCTCTCCGCCCAGGGAGAGACACTATTAGGAGGTGTGGCCTTGTTGGAGTAGGTGTGGCCTTGTTGGAGTAGGTGTGTCACTGTGAGCGTGGGCTTTAAGACCCTCATCCTAGCTGCCTAGAAGCCAGTATTCTGCTAGCAGCCTTCAGATGAAGATGTAGAACTCTCAGCTCCTCCTGCACCATGCCTGCCTGGATGCTGCCATGTTCCTGCCTTGATGATAATGGACTGAACCTCTGAACCTGTAAGCCAGCCCCAGTGAAGTGTTGTTCTTATAAGAGTTGCCTTGGTGTCTGTTCACAGCAATAAAACCCTGACTAAGACACTGCTCCTGTGGAAGACCCAAGTCCAGGACACACATCACTCATATAACCCCCCCGCCCCGTAAGGCCAATCCCAAGGGATCTGATGCTCGCTCCTTGCTCTGAGGTCACCTTCGGTCATGTGCAATACACCCTCCCCCCCCCCCAGACATACACATGGGAGGATGGGAGAGAAGTCCAGCTAACCATGGCAACTCAGACCACTAACGTGTCTTCAGTGCTTCAATCTCCTCACATAGAGAGCATCTGGCAATGTCTGAAGACTTAGAAGGTTGGGGATGCCAGTAACCCTGCTCCATTTCCCAGGAGGCCAGGAGCCAAAAACCTGGCTGGCACTCCCTGCTGCTCTGAGAATATTATGTCACCTCAGGGTTCTAGCCTTGTGACATTCTCATACAGCAGGTCTCAGCTGACCCAAGATTCTGCATGTCCAACACGACTGCACCCCTGCTGACATGTCCAACATGACTGCACCCCTGCTGATGCCCAGTTCGCCCAACTCTCAGTCTTCTTGTGTAAGCCACAAGAGGATGCAGTGGATTTAGGTGAGAAACCAGAGTACTGAGGCTGGCTGAGATGGAGGCAGGCGGCCGACAAGACAAGCTTATGGACTGCTGCTGAGGCCTCTTCTGAAGCCCGGGGTATGAGGTTGCCCTGGGACTAGAGGTGTTGGTGTCTGGGACTCACCATCTAGGGTCTCCACGGAGAGCTGTAGGCCCAGGTTGTGTCGAGGATTGACCACCCAGTGGTTGCTGGTGGCAGTGATGTCAAACACCAACCAGCCCTCCTCAGAAGCCCAGATGGTGCGGCTGTCCAGCAAGAAGAGGTCCGACTCCCTGGAGAGCAGAGACACAGGCTCAGGGTTAGTTAGGTAGGTCACAGCTCAGCTACACTGACAGCCCAGCAGCTGACAGACAGGAGAAGCTCTGTGTAACACATCAAGTGTGAGCTGGGCACTGGTCCTCTACACACAGACCTGTCAGCAAAGGACATGGGCACATGACCTCTTAGCAGTGGTGATGGAGAAAGTATAGAACTTCTAGAATTCCCAGGAATAGGGAACTGACACAGGGCATGTCACTGTGCCGTGTGTCAGGGGACCCCAGCAGGACACAGGAGATGCAAGTATTATACAACCTGCAAGTTTCGGGGGCAGAAGGTAATACCAACAAGGTCACGCACCACGTGTCTGGCACCATGCCGAGAGCTCCATACACCCTGTCGAAGACGGAAGGAGGCTGGCTAGCTGGCTGAGGGTTGGAGCAATGGATGGATTTATGGATAGAAGATGGCTGGGTAGATACGTAGATGGATAGATTAGGTGAGTAAATGAACAGACAGATGAAAGATGGATGGGCGGGTAGGTAGGTAGGTAAGTAGGTGGGTAAATGAGAGATGGATGGGGAGAGACGACTGGATGAGCAGATGGACGGGTAGGTGTGTGGATGGATGGTGAGCACACGGGTAGATAAGTGGATACATAGGCGGATAGGTGGATCAATGGAGAGATGAACTGATAAAGATCGAGATAGAGGGTGGATACATGATATATGGATGGGTGGAAGGATTGGTGAATAAAGGGAGGATGGATGAGATAAAGAGATGGATGGATGGATGGATGGATGGATGGATGCAGGGATGTATGCAGGGATGTATGCAGGGATGGATGGATGGATGGATGGATGGATGGATGGATGGATGGATGGA